GCCTCCAGGTGACTGATACTCACATCACATGACCATCGTTCACAGGTGACTCCCACTCACATCACCTGGCTTCATTTCTTGACATTTATGGGTTGATTTCTTTGTATGTATGGATCACTTGGGTTGTTACCGACATCTGGTGAAAATTTCATGTCATTAGCACCTCTAGTAATATATTTACTGAGAAAAATGGTGACGTGTTCAATACTTATTTTACCTATTTTATCAATGTTAACTTTCCAAAATTTTATTCATAATTATTACAAAAATTTGATGTTACAGACACTTTAAAGGGAACTCCACCTAAATGGCATATAGCATTAACACTTAAGCAAATACATACATATATGTTTATATATGGCCACACATACGTGTATATATGGCATTAGTTCCCAAGCTGACATTATTAGCTTGGGAACTAACACTTGTCATTTATAGCTTGGGCGCTAACGTGAAAGCTAGGCTAAACTGAAGTTCTCTTTCCATGAAGCAGCTCTGTTGTTCTTCATCCACATTTTCCATTACGCGCTGAGTTATTTCTAAATTATCTCCTCTGTCAAAGCACTTTAATTTAAAGGGCTCATTCGCAGCTTCATACTGAGTAAGCATCATTATTGACCCGGTATGCTATGTGGCGTTGATAAAATGTCACCSCCTGTGTGCTAGTATATTTTTAAACATTTTTAAAAACTAAAAAGCCTACAGTATTTTTACTGTCTTTGTTTTAAAGCTTACGAAATGATGTTTAACGATACAACTAGTCTGGGTTCCTTTTAAGAATCTTCCCGTTTCATCTGCAAAAGTTTCTTGATGCACGATGCAGGTTGTTTCGTTCTTGTGAGAAAGAAGCTTTTTGGGATGAAATTGTGCAAATGCTCAATAGATTAGAAAAAAAAAGGTTTTTTTTTCTTTAATGTGGGTTTTAGTTTAAACAGTACTGGCAGGATCTTAGTGACAAAGTGGGTGGTAAATGTGCATTTTGATTATGTTGTGTATCCCAAAAGTATAAACTCTAAAGATTGCTTGAGAGCTGCAAAAGAAAAAAAATATTAATCTTGGGTATTTCGAAATACAGTATACATCATTATTCTAAAAGACTAGAGACACAGGGTTTCATCTTAATCAATAGTTGCCAGCCTGACTCAGGTGTAATGGAGACAAGGTGATGTCTGTACACTGTAGAACCACTTCAAAATCTCTTGGATTTGTCATCATATTTTCTCAAAAATGACAGGTAGCATGGCAGTATTCTATATAACCAGTAAAAATTAATAATAATTGCCAAGGGCGTAATCACCATCTTAAAAGTAGGGGGGACATATTTTTTAAAGGTTTTATTTTCTGCTTCGGCTGAAAAAAGTGGGCGGGACAGAGGGCACAGATACTGGAAGTTGGTGGGGACATGTCCCACCCTGTGCCTATGGCGGTTACGCCCATGATTAATTGCTATTTAAAATCAGGCAAATCTCATTGAGATCACAGATCTCCTTTGAAAGGGAGGCCTGGAAAGAAACCAGAGTATCCAGAGAATAACCAACAAACAGAAGGAGAACGTGCAAACTTTGCACAAAATGACCCTTGGTCCAAACCAGGGCTCAAACCCTGGACCTTCTTTCTGTGAGGAATCAGTGCTTACCACCGATCCATCATTCTGCCTGAAAATAAAGTGAAACTTGCGTGGATGGAGTTGACAAGATTGTGAACACTCTTGTACCCAATTCCGTGCATCAATTCTGTGAAGTATAAAACTACTCTAAATGCTACACGCTCACACTATGTTCATAACTGCTCCACTATGTGAGCAGTGCGATCTTTGGAACGTAGTGGAAAAATGAAGTGCAAACAGACCACTATTTTGAGCTTCATGCAAAAGCCAAATAATCAAAATGAGATCTTTGAAATGACTCAGARGGAACAACCTGAAACAACTGCAGATGGGCTGGAAACATGCTATGTGTGGCAGTAAACTGAAAAACTCAAACATGAATTAATAATAACAAGAGACTAACTTTATTGCATCAGTCTACCTACCCCAATATGTGTTAACCCACTGATTAGTATATTCGTAGCATATATCTTTTTATTATTATTATTTCAATCGGGGCGGCTGTGGCGGAGTGGTTAGGGGAGCACTTCCAAAAAAAATAGACTACAATGTGCACCTTCAAAATGTAATTTCAGATGTTTGCTGTGAAATACATTGTTTTCAGCTTGGCTCTGGTCTGAAATCAAGCGGTTGACCCTGTCTGACCCTGTACCATCATACTCACCCGTTCAGCTCCACAGAACTACAGAAAGTGCCAGATAAACAGCAGACTGTTTATTCTGTTGATAAGCTCTGAAAGGACTTGACACGGAACCCAATGAACTGACCTCTCTGCCTTGACAGGCTTGATCCAGACACCGTTAAAGACACGGAGACGGACGGTCATGTCCGCACTCCTTCCTGGCAAACGTTCAACGCAGATGAATAAAACCCATCTAAGAATTCACGTCTAAGCCGTGGTGAAAACGCTCTTCCTCGCCTGAACCCCGCTCCTGTAATTGAGGTTCTGTTCCTCTGCGCAGCTGATAAGAGGAACCAGAAGTTGTTTGCACAAAACAGAGGCCCTACTCAGCCAACTAGATGTCCATATGGTTCATGTTAGGGGTAAAAAAAAAAAAGTCCTTCTGCACTCCTCATCACTCTACGAGAAACCAAACTCTTGCTGCTGGTGTTCTGCAGACCTGAGGCTGACGCTGAGGCCAACGCACTGCTGAGCCGGAGCATGCGGGTCCGTGTAAAAGGATAGTGTAACAATATGAATATCTGTATCCCCCTGTGCAGTGGAAAAGCAAGAGATGTAGATGTAAGCAGAGCGGACACCAGATATGTCTAAGTATTGTGGTTAAGGCACKTAAATGTGCCCCTGGGTTCCCATTTTTAGCTTTTAGCCACAAGGACTTAAGTTGATGTTATAAATACAGTTTATGTTAGAGGGAAACAACTTTTTTATTTATATACAGCATATGGTAATTCTGTTTTCAAAACAAAACAGCTGGACTTGCTTTCTTTTTACAGGTGAGTGTTTTTCACCAAAAAAAAATACCTTAATTATCTCCACTAAAGTATACATTTCTACTGATGCTGACCTACTTTTTCATTCTCATCATGATGTTTCCTTTGCTGTCTTTGCTCCGAAACAGAGAGTAGCAATTGAAGTTGCCAAACCTGATCGAAAAAAAAAAACATTTTTTAGCCAAATTTGGATTTTAGCTGTTCTGCTCTTTAAGTGTTTGGCTCAATTTAGCTCATGTTGCCTGATTGTTGGAGCATCTGCTCTGATTAACGGATCAGTTCATCTAAAATTAACTTTTGTTTTGCTTGTTTTCAACTTATTTCAACTCTGTTTCAGCTTGTCTTTTCCTTTTTTTCAGACATTTGCACTGCATTTTTTTTTTTTTTTTGTAGAAAATGCACATTTTTACCTTTTGTATTGGAAATAATAGTTCCTTAAAGCACAATCAAATTATGGGACAGACAGTTATGTTTTGATTTAACTTGGAAACATTTTGTTTTATGCAGTCTGGTTTCTTCACTGCAGACAGTGATCAGTAATCAGTATTTTAAGGCTGCTGCATGGTACACTGATGCTGAGCTGATCTTAGTGCCACTCATCACAGCACGTCTCAGCAGCTCTGCATACAGGGTGAGGATGCAGGGTGCACCCCTTCATATAGAAAACCAGAAGCCTCCACCCAACATCACTTCATTTACATCACCTAACACAGCATGCTGGATGAGAATGTTTAAAACCAAATAATGTTACTTACATTCATCGGATCCACTCAGCTCTGGATGATGTGCGCTCTGGATCTCTCCCCGTATTGGAATCCTGATTAATATGCAAAGGGGTTTCCAGTCAAAGACAGCCAATCTGCCTGCACCAAAAAATAAAAAAATAAAAATCTTGAATGGAGCCGAGCTGTCCAGCTAAACCGAGATATTTTTCCACATAATATCCACAATGGAAGCCAGCCGTGCCAACTCTCAGCTGCTGTTTAATCCATTTAAACAGGAGCAGGTCACTCTTTATGCGTCTCTGGATCAGGTGAGCGCGCTTTWTTATTCTTGGATCAGCTGGGAAGCTGCGCCGCTTCTTCTTGATCCGCAGAAAAAAAGAGGCTCCCGTGTTGCCCTGACCGGAGTCTGGCTGATCTGAACCCGTTTCTCTTCTCCTGCCGGTCCCCTCCTCCTTCTGTCTCCCCTCAGCATCCACCCTGTCAGACACGATGTGGCTGAGCCGCTTCACAGAACCGGGCACCTCTCAAACTGAAAGCCGACTCCACACACAGCCACCAGGCCCAGCCTCCCACACCCCGAGTACTCCTCTCCTCCATCCCCTTCCTCTGCCTCATCCTCCCCCCCAGTTTACCGGCTGATAATTTATTCGAGTGGCCACACAAAAGGGGGGGACAGAGCCAAGGGAAAGGCTGTTGAATACAGCAGAGAGGCTGGTGGAGAGCAGACTTTGGTGCCCCCCAGCTCCTTCCAGTGGAAGTAGTCTTTTTCTGGAGACAAAGGAGTGTCTCTGCAGAATGAAAAAAGATGAAACAAAGTCTCCAATAATTATTAAAATTAGATGTTTTTTTTCCTTTCACGTGATTGTTGAACAACATATTGACTTTTTTAAATAATAATTTTGTTTAATTTATTTTTTGTGTAATCTGGCAATTAACTTTCAATTCAGCCTACACACTAAAAACTGCTGGGTTGTTTTGGAAACTGCTGTGTTAGGTCATATGATTGGGTTGGTTTGACTAAAAAAAAACTGACCCAGTTGATATGAGCCATTACAAGCTGGCCCAATCAAAACTGACTGGACCTCTGATTTAGAATGTAAAAGTAAGTTAGTTTAATGTTGTTGATGCTTCACCTGGTTGGGTAGACTGAAGAAGTCTCTTGGAGGAGAGACGAAACGTTTCACTGAAGAAGAACCCGACCAGAGGACCTACTTTTTTTTCTACCTGGATTACTGAGATGCATCAGGACATTTACCTGGTTGGCTTTGTTAATAACTTTATTTTGCATTCAATAGTGGGTTTGGTTTTCTAAAATTGCATTACTTGGTTCTATAGCAGTTTGAAGCTATAGGTGCTAAAAACCAGGCAAATCCCATTGTGATCTCAGATCTCTTTTTCAAGGGCAGCCTGGGCCTGAAGGCAGAGTATTGTACATTTTTGGGGTGTGGGGGAAACCCACGCAAGCACGAGGAGAACGTGCAAACCCTGCACAGAAAGACTCCAGGTCTGAACCAGGGATTGAACTCCGTACCCTCTTGCTGTGAGGCGTTGGTGCTAACCGCTGATCCATTGTGCTGCCGTTATTTAAAAAGAAGAAAAAGCTGTTGTGGCAGGAAAACCCCAAAAGTCAAACACAGGGAAGCAAGAGAAGATTCCAGAACCTCCATGCTGGACTCCAATGAGGGATGAGTAAGGACAGAGCCGATGAGGAAGTGGAGACACCTGGTCTGAATAAAAACATGGAGCAGGTGAACGTGGACAGGTCTGAGGAGTAGGAAACTAACTGGTTGTGGTGATAAAAGGTTGACCCAACTGAACACAAAATTCTCAATCCTAAAAGAAACAAACATGAAAATAAATACTTAAACAAACTAAACACTTAAAAACACTAAAGATAAAAGAACAGCAATAACAGCACCCTGTTCCTGATGGGTTAAAGGGTTAGTTTGGTCCATTGATCTGTAAAATTGGGTTGGTTTTAAACTATCAGATTATTATGTGTATTTAACAAATGAATCCCTATGATGCGCACTCTAATAACACTTACTATATCTGGACATCTTTTAAGGGTGAAAAGGCAGAAAAACTCTCTGTGGCCTTAATTAAGCTACAAAAATGGGCTTTGTCTCAAGGTCGTAGACATCTTCATGTATAAATAAAGCAGATCAGTCAAGGTTGAGATCTTTGCTTAGCTGTTTAAAGTGCTGGCATCAGCAAGATGGGAGTCATTTATCACCACAGATTTTAGGTCAAGCCTCCAGTTGCGTCACTGAAGCAGAACAAGGGAGAAGATGTGGAGGAGGGAAAGGTAACGCGCAAAAGAGCTGAGCACTGGGTGTGGGTATAAGGTGAGAGGTGTTTGACAAGGACAGCTATCAGTCCCTTCTCTTTTGTGGTGCGAGTTCATATGCTGCAGCCTGGGGGGAAGAATGATCGCCTATCTGAGCGTTWAATCTGTCCACACTGGTTGGAAAATAAGAGCAAGGATCCATATATTCAGGCTTATAAAATGTTTGAAGAACCTGTTTAGTTTGTGGCAAATACAGATGGCCGAAATAAGTGTCTATCTGCTCATGTTGTGAAATGAAAACATGTACTATCTTGAAGTATTTCTCCAAGATTTCTAAGGTGGAATTATCGTGCAAATCAGAGTAGTGACCAATTATAATAATAATAATTATTATTATTATTATTATTATTATTATTATTATTATTATTATTAAGCAGATTAAAAATATAAGGATATGCACATCAACTTTCTTTCAATATATTTAGGTTTTTTTCAGTGTTTTGCTGAAATTCTTTATCTGAATAAATATTACATCGTAGGGGTGTGAAAGTTTGGGCAGCCTTGTTAATTTTCCTGATTTTCCTTTATACTATAAATCATTGATTGGATTAAAAAATCAGTTAAATATATCATATAGGGTACAAAAAGTGATATTTGAGAAGTGAAATGAAGTTAATATGATTTACAGAAAGTGTGCAATGATTGGTTAAACAAAATTAGACGTGCATAAATTTGGGCACCAAAAAAACCCTTAATTCAGTATTTAKTAGATCCTCCTTTCTCAGAAATAACAGCCTCTAAATGCTTCCTACAGCTTCTAATGAGAGTCTGGATTGTGGCTGAAAGTATTTTAGACCATTCTTCTTTACAAAACATTTCTAGTTCGTTCAGGTTTGATGGTTTCCAACCACAGACAGCTCTCTTTAAGTGACACCACAGATTTTCAATAATATTCAGGTCTGGGGACTGAGATGGCCATTCCAGAACATTGGACTTGTTCCTCTGCATGAATGCCTTAGTAGATGTTGAGCAGTGTTCAGGGTGGTTGTCTTGTTGGAAGATGCAGCCCCGGCTTCAGCAGCYTCAGCTTTGTCACTGATTCCTGGACATTGGTCTCCAGAATCTGCTGATATTGGTTGGAATTCATGCGTCCCTCAACTTTAACAAAATTCCCAGTCCCTGTACTGGTCATACAGCCCCACAGCATGATGGAACCAACCCCACATTTTACTGTAGGTAGCAGGTGTTTTTCTTGGAGTGCTGTGTTCTTTTTCCTCCATGCATAACGACCCTTGTTCTGCCCAAATAACTCTATTTTAGTTTCATCAGTCCACAGCATCTTATTCCAAAATGAAGCTGGCTTGTCCAAATGTGCTTTAGCTAATCTCAAGCAGCTCTGTTTGTGATGTGGGTGGAGAAAAGTTTTTCTCTACATCACTCTCACATTCAGCATCTCCTTGTGTAAAGTGTGCTGAATAGTTGAACGATGCACAGTGACTCCATCAGCAGCAAGATGATGTTGTAGGTGTTTGGTGCTGGTCTGTGGGTTGACTCTAACTGTTCTCAACATCCTTCACTTCTGTTTATTGGAGATTTGTCTTGGTCTGCCACTTAGATCCTTGACTTGAACTGTGCCTGTGGTCTAACATTTTCTCACAATGTTTCTCACAGTGGAGRCTGAAAGGTGAAATCTCTGAKAKAGCTTTCTGTATCCTTCCCCTAAACCATGACGGTGAACAATCTTTGTTTTCAGCTCATTTGAAAGTTTGACTCCCATGCTGCCACTCTTCAGAGAAGATGCAAAAAAGAGAAAAACTTACAATTGACCCCCTTAAATACCCTTTCTCATAATTGGAGTCACCTGAATATGGAGGTCAAGGGTCACTGAACTTACCAAACTTACTTTGCTGCTGCAGCTCCTAAACTTTGGAATGAGCTACCTCTCCAACTTRGACAGTCCTCTTCACTGGCTGTTTTGAAAACGTCTTAAAACCCACTTCTTTACTTTGGCTTTTGATACTGTGTGAGGGGTTGTGTTGTCCATTTACACTAGATTTTATATGTTGTAGAACTTTTTTTGTTTTTATTCTAGATTTTAATTTAGGTTTTAGCCTTTTTGTTGGTTTTTTCTTGTTTTTACTTTGTTTTTTTATTTCATGTTTTTATTTTTTCTGTGGTTTTTTTATTCTTATCTTAATTTTGGTTGTGTTTGTTTTTGTATGAGCTGTGTTGGAATGTTGATTCTGTACAGCACTTTGGTCTACTATGGTGCAAAAAGTGCTTTACAAATACAGTTGGATTTGGATTGGATTGCACCTGCATAATTTTGTTTAACCAATTATTGCACACTTTCTGTAAACCATACTTCATTTCACTTTCAAAATATCATTGTGTTTGTCCCCTATATGATACATTTAACTGATTTATTTTATCCAAACAATCAATGATTTATAAAAATAAATCAAGAAAATTAACAAGGCTCCCCAAAATTTTGCACCCCACTGTAATACCAACTCTATGGCTTTCTATGATGTTAAGTGTTAACATAAATATGTGCAATTCAGATAAAAAATTATTCAGTATTTGACAAGCTGACAACATTAGCTGATAGCAAACTGTTAGTCATTAGCAACCTAAAACTAATCACATTCTCACACATATCAGTAATCTTTTTAGCTATTGTCTAAGTGATAGCATTAGCAGTCCATAGCTACTATAGCTATTAGCTTTTTGTTCATTATCAGCTATCTGATAAGTAAAGTATTATTAGTAACTTGGCAATAAGCAAACTTTTAACTATTAGCAGTTTGTTAGCAATTTGTAATCTATTGGTTGTCTATTAGCTTTTAGCTATATTTAGCTGTGAGCTATTTGAAAATTATGATTTGCTTGAATTTTTACCTGAAGAAAACAAACAAAAAGTTAACACTCTTGTTTTTTGTTTGTTTTCTTAAGATTTGAGTCTCTATTCAAGCACACATATTTTGATTCTTCTTGTTTTTAGAAGACAATACATTCCATTTTTTGTACATGAGCCTTTGTAGATGGAACATTTGTGTCTTTGCGGGCGTGTAAATGAACTGCATGTGTGTGAATTTGTTCAGCATCATACTTGTTGTGTGAAAACTTGCCACAAAGTAATAGTGACACAGCTTTAACCGGGAGCAGATGGCTGAAGAGGGAATCTTTTGGTCCGACTCCGCGTGATGTTGGAGACCAGCGCAGGATTTATATCAGAGCTGCGCACATCCATAAATGTAAAATTTATCTTTCTTTCTAATAAACACAGACGTACATACGCACACACACACATATAT